GGTGAGATAATGAGACCTGTTACTATAGTATATGCTCTGTTCGAGGAGGGAGACCTTGAGAGTGAATTTTGCTCCCAACTGCCATCAGTAGACAAGTAAAACAAGCAAATACACATGACCTAAGTACAGGTGATTACTCAAGTTAAAGTCCAACAAATTTTAGATCAATAAAAGTAATCTAGAGGCTCTAAGTGGATACTTTTAAACCAAATAACTTTGATTGTACACTAAGATGATTTATAAGAAGGTAAGCATATAGATTCAATTTTAAAAATAAATATTTTGAAATCTGGTATGCTATGTGATTGAATTCTCATTGATTAAAATGGGGAATTTCTATTTTGAAAAAGTAAAATGTTGGTTTTTTGGGTATTTCAAGCCCCCCCCCACACTATTCTTATCCTAAGAATTTTATTTCAGCCATCAAGTAACATTCATAATTTTTCCACAAATAACTTTATATTTTTGTCTTAAGTTCCTCAAATGCTTAATATTGTACATTTTAAACTTTAAAAAAATCCCCAGTACACTCAGTAATTCAATGGTGCCCAAGTATGGAAGTGTGGCTCCATTCATTAGTTGAGAGTAATTTTTTAAAAATTGCAAATAATCAAAAAAAAAAAGATCAACAAAAAGAATTTGTCTTGAATATTGAGCCTTCCAAAAAAAGTAGGGGATATACTTCTCTAGTCCTTATATTTTATTTAGGAGTCATAAAAGGAAATACACATACTTGCAAAATATTTTTAATATACATACATTTGAAAGCAAATCTTAATTTTTATTTTATTTTTCATTAAAGTATAGTTGACATACAATGTTATATTAGTTTCAGGTATACAACATAGTGATTCTACATTTCTATACCTTATGAAATGATCACCACAATAAGTCTAGTAACCATTTGTCACCATACAAAGTTATGTGATATTGACTATTTTCTCTGTGCTGTACAGCATATCTTAATTTTTTTTAAAGCCTACAGCACCAGGTATTCTCAGGCAGTCGCACATCCAAGTAGTAACCAGGCCCAATCCTGCTTAGCTTCTGAGATCAGAAAAGATAGGGTGCATTCAAGGTGGTATGGCCATAGACAGCATATCTTAATTTTTCAATAATTCTAGTTTCAAGTATTTTTTGACTGCCTAGTATATTCCAATTAAATGCCATAATAACTGCTTATACTTTAAAATTATGGGAAGAATAATTAAAGCTTTTACTCAGGAAAATTAAAAATACATTGCAGAATGTCGATGTCCAAATAATTTTAAAATCAAACTTAAAATTAATGGGTAAGTGCCTCATTAAACTCCACCAAGCAATTCTGATATTTGAGGAACACAGATGCTAGTTCCAGAAACCTCCCCTGCTTCCTTCTTCATTTTACCAATGTAATTTGTATATGTTGTCAACGAAGAGACATTTACAATAAGCAGAACTTGATGAATAAAACTGTATGTCTAATATCTATATCTAAGAAATAAATAATTTCACTTAAGCCTGTTCAAAATTGAGATAACATTGAAAAAGAGATTAAGGTGAAAGGTGTTCCTGGGTATCAACCAGTCTCCCACATATTTTAGGGCAGGGAGTGGGGAAAGAAGATGAATGACACAAGAAAGGAAAGAAGTCACAAAGGAATTGCTGAGAGAAGAAAGGATACATGCCTAAGAGCAAAACAAACAAAACCCTGGCTTATTAAGAAGAAGGAGGAGCCCACATTCACAACTCTTATAAATACATTGAATGGGGACCTGACAGACAATATTATTTTTAATATTTAAAGTTATAACTATTGATATAGTCAAAATGTTGCAATTGAAGGATGTGTAAAAAATAGCTTATAGAAAATATTTGCCCACTTACCAACATTATAGTTCATAAAGCATAATATTCAGCCAATAATTCCCTGTTGAAATACAATTAGAGTAGGTGACATAAGTCATTTAAAATACTTATTGAGTACCTACTATGTGCTAGAGGTGGTTCTAAACACTGAGACTAAAGAGAAAATGAAACAAAACTTCATACCTTTATAAGATTATATTCTGGTGGAAAACAGATAAAATCAGGATAAATATGTAAGTTATAGATATAAAGATATAAATGTTGATATAAAAAGAGCTATACCAATACTAAGTGCTAAAGAGAAAAAAATAAGGCCTGGAAGAAGGATAAGATGTCTTGGTCAGAGGTAATGGTGGTAGTATGGAGATGAATAAGAAGGTGACATTAAGTAATATCTGAAGGAAGTGAGGGCATCTTGGGAAAGAGCATTCCAGACAAAGGGAAGAGCAAATGCCAAGACCTTGAGACAGGAGATTGTCTTGATGTGTTGGATAAATTATAAGGTCAGTGTGGCTGGAGCAGAGTGAGTGAAAGGAAGAGAAATAGGAAATGAGGTCACGTCTTATAGTTACAACTTTTTTCCCCTTGTGATGAGAACTTTTAAGATCCCTTATAACACCTTCAAATATACAATAAAGTATTGTGAACTGTAGTCATTATGTTGAACATTATATACTCAGAACTTATTTATCTTATAACTGGAAGTTTGTACCTTTTACCAACTTCACCCAATTCTTCCACCCTCCATCTCCTGCCTCTGGCAATCACAAATCTGATCTCCATTTCTATTAGTTTGGGTTTTTTTAGATTCCACATATAAGTGAGATCATACAGTATATAGTGCACAGTATACACAGAACTGACTTCCGTAGTCTGACCAAATGAATGAATGTTAACTAAACTTATTATGGTAATCATTTTGTAATATATACATATATCAAATCATCATGTTATATACCTTAAATGTATACAATGTTATATGTATACATTTATTTTACATCTCAATAAAACTCAGGAAAAAATAATGGCACCAAGTATGGACAAGAATGTGGAGAAATTGGATCCCTCATGCATTGCTTGTGGAATGTAAAATGGCGCAGCTACTCCAGAAGATAATTTTGCAGTTCCTTTAAAAACTAAACATACATTTACCATATGGCCCAGCAATCACACTCCTGAGCATTTATCCCAGAGAAATAAAAACTTATGTCCACACCAAAACCTGTATGTGATTGTTCTTAAGTTTTATTTGCAATAGCCTAAAATTGGAAACAGCCCAGATGATTTTCATAGGTGAATGGTTAAACCAGTGTGGTACATCCATGCTATGGAATACTACTCAGCAATAAAATGAAGTGATGATTGATATGTACAATAGCTTGGATGAATTCTAAAGGCATTACACTGAGTGAAGAAAAGCCAATTTCAAAAGTTCACATACTGCATGATTCTATTCATATAACGTTCTCTAGTGACAAAATTATAGAGTTGGAGAAAAAAAATTAGTGGTTGCCAGGGGTTAGAGTTGGTGGGGAGGAGTGGGTGTGTCTATAAAGTTTCTTATGGAGATAGAAATGTACTGTATCTTAATTGTGGTGGTGGTTACAGTAATCACATGTGATAAAGTAACATAGAACTACACACACATTATACCAATGTCAGTTTACTGGTTTCTATATTGTTCTATAGTTAGGGAAGATGTAAAAATTGGGGGAAAATGAATAAAGGGTACTTGGGATCTCTCTGTACTATCACTGAAACTTCCTGTGAATCTGTAATTATTTCAGTATTAAAAGTCGAAAAATGTAAAAGGAACCCTCATACACTTCTGGTGGGACTGCAAATTGGTACACCCACTATGGAAAACAGTATGCAGGTTCCTTAAAAAACTAAGAATTGGTCTACCATATGATCCAGCAATCCCTCTACTGGATATTTACATCAAAGACTTGAAAACCCATATCCGAAAAGATATTTCCACACCGATGTTCAGAGCAGCACTATTCAATGACCAGGACGTGGAAGCAACTGAAATGTCCTACGATAGATGCTACATTATTTCTGTTCACACAGTCAGATGGCTTTTAAAGACATTTAAATAATAAGGAAAAATGTTGGATAGTTATCCATGTAGTTACTATTTCCAGTGCTCTTCCTTCTTTTGTGTAGATCCATATTTCCTTTTGGTAACATTTTCCTTCTGCTTAAAAGATTTCCTTTAATATTTATTAGAGTGATAGTCTGCTGGTGATGAGTTCTTTTACCTTTTATAAGTCTGAAAAAGTATTGTTTTACCTTTGTTTTTTGAATGTTTTTTCTGGATATAGAATTTTAGGTTGTCTTTTTTTTTCTTTCAGTACTTTAAAGATGTTATTCCATTGTTCTTGCTTATATTGTTTCTGATGATAAATATGCTGATATAGGACATTAAGTAAGGAAGGTAAGATCACAAACAGCATGGAACTTCATGGGCACAGGCCAAAGTTGTTGTCCACAGGCAGAATTTCTTCTGTTTCAGGGAAGCCTCAACCCTGCTTTTAAGGTTTTTTAATTCCTATTACCATGATTCATTACTTCAAGCAAATGCTAAAGATTAAGCTAACAAAAGGTTGTGTCCCTAATAGCATAAAGAGGAGACATCCTGTTATATCCTTGAGTAGTGGCAGCAGAAGTGACCAGACACAAAATTAAAGTCCTGTTAGATGAAATTTCCTTTTCCTTGCCTTAGCATTAATTCACCTCCTTTTATTGTTCAATATATCTTCTGGACTATCCCTCTTCCTTGGTCAAAATTTTAACAACTATGAATTTTAGGTGAAAGATGATGATTGTTTTAAATAATTGGATAATAGAAAGAAACCAATAAAGTGAACTTAAAAAGTACCAGGACCTAACCGAAAAGACAAGCCAATATAATAACTGTCTGGACTTGTCCTTAACAAATGAGTAAGTGTTCACAGAACTCTGATTTTTGTTGCTGCTGTTGTTGAGATCTTCCCTTACAGATATGGGTGACCAAATGACTAACTTCTGTATAATTAGATGTAAACAGAAATTTTAGGTGGGGATTTGGGGGAAGCTCTTTTAAAAGCAGGCTGTCTAACCTGGAAAGTACCCTTCTGCTCCTTCTCTTTTCTCCCTCTTTCCTCCAGCCTAGAATGCAGACACAATGGCTGGTTACAGTGGCCATCTTGCAACCATGAGGCAAACTTTAGGGTGGAAGTTGTATGCTAAGAAGGGCAAAGCAGCAAGATAGAAGAAACCTGGGACTTGGATGACTCCATGGGCTTGTCAGGCCACCACTGGATTCCCTACCTCTGCCTGCAAAAGAGAAAAATAACCTCACAGTTTATGTAAGTCATCCTTTATTGAGTGTCTGTTACTAGCAGATGAACACAATTCATAAATAATGCACTCACATCCATGTGGTGGGCACCATCTTCTCCTCAATACCCTTCTTCAGATGAGACCAGTGTGAATCTGACATAGAATATTTTAGATCAGAGGTTCCCAACCCCTGGGCCATGGACCGGTACCAGTCCGTGGCCTGTTAGGAACTGGGCCACATAACAGGAGGTGAGCGGCAGGTGAGCAAGTAAAGCTTCATCCATATTTGCAGCCACTGCCCAGTGCTAGGATCACCTCAGATCATTAGGCATTAGATTCTCATAGGAGCACTGCTCCCTGGTGCCAAAAAGGTTGGGAACCACTGTTTTAGATCATTAAGTTAGGACTGTGTCTCAGTCAGTCTTTTCCTACACTTTCAAACATTGTGCCTGACATATAGTAGACGCTCAGTAAAAATTGACTTGGACCAATCAGGGGCTTGGATTCGTCTGGATTCATATCTCTCAGATTCCAGTATCCAATTTGGCCAGGCTAGCCATGTTCTGTAGCCATTGTGGTTCCTGCTTAAAAACAGCAAGCAAACCTTGCTTCACTTTCAAGGTAGTAGAGTCTAAAACGACCACAAGGGTATTTAAAGTAGTAAAGGGCCATTTAAAACAGGAGATCAGGCCAGTTCCTAAAATGAAAAAAGGTAGATGATGTGGGGTACAAGAAGAGATTCCAGGCCTGTGTTCAACTTTTTTTTCTAATCTAGCTCTCTATAGTACATTTTCTATCTGTTGTTCATCTCTTGCCCTTTAGAGTACAAATGTTCATCTGCTTAAACAATTTGTAAAATTATCATTTAAAATAAAGTGACCTACATAAATAAGTAACTATCATGGATAAATAAATAATCAGCAAAGGAAGGAGGAAGGAAGATACACTCATGCACATGGATGACACACATAAAGAATCAATATTCTGCTAGATCACCAGGACAGGGAAAACCTTGAGAGAAGAGAGAGGAGTCAGATGTAGAATATGCCCAGAAAAGGTTTACATAAATATTGGAGGAAAGAAGGCTTGCAAACCAGATAAGACATTTTCTCTGACTTTCAAAAATGCATTTCAAAATGACTGGAATTGCTGGCATCTAGCTCTCCTTATAAACTATGGGAACTCTATGTTGTCCTTATGACAAACCTACAGCCAAGGAAAACAAAATTCAGTCAGCCCTTCAAACAAGAAGGGCCTGGAAATGATTTCTGTAGGAAAGAAGACATGAAGCAGTTTAAGCTATGGAGTGTTGAATATTTCATTCATCTTTTTCTTGTGATGCAAGGTCAAGAGCTTATCATCCTAACATTATGGAAGTGTATTTGGTCCCTAATTTGAAGAATTTGTGGCATTGGGTAGAATATTCAGAGATAGCAGGGTGGACTCATAGGAATAGAGCTATGAGAAGTCATAAATTTAGACTTTTTGTACTTACTATACTCCTAACTTTGCCCATCACAACTTTGCCTCCAGCATTTTATCTACGGCTCAGCATATGTTTTATTTTATTTTTTACATGTTATTTTCTTTTTTCAACTTTTTTATTTTGATAATTTTTAATCTTACAGAAAAGTTGTAAAAATTGTACATTGAACACCCACATATCCTTTACCTACATTCACCAGTTGTTAACATTTTTCCAAATTAGTTTTCTCTCTATTTAAATGTGTTTTTGTGTAAATGTGTGTTTGTGTGTGCATACACCTTTCTATGAAAGATCCAAGAGATTTAAATGTAGGTTTCAGACACCTTGATATTTCAGTCATATAAACTTCAAGCATATTTTTCTTAAGGAGAAAAAAAAGTTTTTCTATATAACTATATTTAACACAGGAAAATTATCACACTCAGGAAATTTAACAATGGTATGATGCTATTAACTCATGTACATTCCATATTCATATTTCTTCAAGTGTGCCAATAACAGTAGTATCCTTTATACTGTTTTTTAAAAAGCAAAGTTTCAATTAAAGATCACATATTGCATTTAATTGTCATGTCTCTTTACTTTCTTTTAAAGAAAATCCCTGAACTTTATCTTTCATGACATTGACATTTTTGAAGAGTCCAGGTTAGCTATTTTGCATAATGCTCCTGAAATTTTTGTCTTATTATTTCCTTTTGATTAGAACCTTTTTTGTTTGTTTTTTTGACAGGAATACTTCATGTGCGATTTGTGTCCTCAGTGCATTTAGTGATGTTAAGTTTGATCATTTGGTTCAAATGGTATCCACCAGACCTCTCCATTTATAAAGGTACCTTTATTTTTCGTGGTAATTAGTAGTTGTAACTAGTGGTACTTTGAGACTGTGTAAATATATTCTTCTCTAACCATCAGTGATTTTACTTCTATTGATGATTATTGCCTGAATCAATTATTACAATTGTGATTGCAAAATGTTGGTTTTCTAATTCTAACAATCTTATATTTATGAACTGTCATTCTTCCACAAACAACTTTCCCTGCTCCTCCTCCCCTCCTTAATTTTTTAAAAAAGTAGTGTTGGTTTGAATTCTTTTTTATTCAGTCTTATAATCTATTCCAGTCATTATTTATTTTGATACTCAATTTGTCCCATATTTAGCAAGTGGGAGCCCGTTCAAGCTGACTTCTGTCTTCCTTTTACATGACCCCATCGGTTTTTGAGTACTTCTCAAAAATTTTCTGGCAGAAGATATTCCAAGCCATGCTTTTACTCTCCCTACTTCAGCCTAGAATCATCCACTTCTCCAAGGAGCACTGGTTCTTTTTAGTGGAATGTGATTTCTACAAAGTCTGGGCACTAGGTATGCTCATTGCTATTGAAGTGTTATCCACAGATATTTTAAACAGAAAAGAAATACCATTGAAAATGGTTATTTCAGATGGACTGTGTAAGGATGACTTAGACAAGAATATAAAAATATAAGAATTTTAGTAGGTAGGTAATAATTCCAATAATGGTTTACATTTGTATAAGATGATCAAAGTACATGACATCTGGTAATGTCAAAATCGGTAATCACAGAAGTACCAAAAAGCCGTAGTGAACATGCTCTCATCAGCAGAGTAATACATATTTTCCACATATAATCTAAAATGTGATTTGTATCATTTAACATAGATTTTAAACCCAAAATTTATATTTATAGTAAAAACTTTTACCTAGGTTCTCAACCTTATTTGCACTTACACCTATTTTCAGATTTTATTTGAGAAGGGGAGAGAAAAGATGAATGAAGAGGAAGGAACCACAAAGTACTTTAAATAGATAAAATAACTAGATTCCTGGTAGTTGAATCTATCATCTGAATGAGTGTTGGCATAAAGCATAGATTTATAAAATGATTTCCTTAATTCTCAGAGTATCTGTGTGACACAAGCTATTAACAACTATGCAATACTGCCAACTCTCTCTAGAACTGAGCAAAGTAGGTGCTCTCATAAATTATTTTAAAGTAAATAATGGTCGTATATATAATCCACATGAAATTTAGCTGTACTATGACCCAGTCTTAACATAGTGCTGTTTTCAAATAAATGTAAATGCAACATTCAAGAAAAAAATTTCAAAAGCAATTTAATTTTTAATAAAATAATTTTTGAAATTTCAAAGGGAGTTTCTTTTCATATTTTACAGGAAAATTTTTCTTCATATTTATTGAGGTATAATCGACAAATTAAAATTGCACATATTTAGGGCGTATGACTTGATGTTTTGATAGACGTATACATTGTGAAATAATTTCCATAATTAAGCTAATTAACATATCCATCACCTCACATAGTTACCCCCCTCTGTCTCACTGGATCCTAGAAAGGATGGCCCAGAAATTCCCTGAAAAGAGTCAATTGTAGACCACACATACTCTCATCAGACCTCCTCTCTCCCATTTGTCCACTTCCTTGCATCAGTTAACACTACCAGCTGGGGACCAAGAACTGCTTGAACTTCCCAAATTTTCTTGGTTTACAGATTTTACAGAACCCTTAACATCTCAGTAATTTTTTCACCATGCTCTTAGGCCAAAATAAATACCTAACAGTTCCATTTATTAAGTATTCAAATCCAAATAAATTGGTAGGTACTTATATCCTAACAGTTTACTAGCCATTTAAAAAAAATGATACATTTAATTGGAAAAAACAATATTCTAATTTTCTATTTATAAAACCACAGTTACCTACTAATGGGATGAGAGTACCTGTTGCACATTGCGGTTTCTCAAACCTTGGAATCTGACTGGACACCGCCACAGTCATTTCCTCTTCCACATTCATTCTCATGTGGTACTTACTTTTCTCACAGCAACTACCAAAACTCCAGCTTTGCAAAGATATGGATGGCATCACTGAATATAGGGTGATCTCTGTGTCAGGGGCTTTAATAGGAAACTCATATCAGTGGTCCCTCAGTCCCCAATGTGGCCAGCCCTTTTGGCTTTATTTCCGAACATCCTTTCTCTCCACAATAGAGCAGCCAGTATACCTGAGCATGGAGGACCCCAAGTAACAGCCATTATACTGTACGTGAAACAACTACCCTCTCCAAATATACCAACCCTTTTCTTCCTTTGAGGTGGATACCTTCAAAGGGAACCCACAATTACTTCTTAATGTTTGTCTCTGGCACTTCTCCCCCAAGTATCTTGGTATACATCTGATGCTAATCACTGACATTGTTCAAAGTCTTTTCCCATGGCTACTTTGACTCTCAATAAATCAGCTGATAGAAATCAATCCTGGAGTGGGGGCCTCTTAACACCCAGTCTCTGATTAGGCTATCTTAGAACATGCACTGTAAGAGCTATTATGGATGGATTTTCATTTAGCAAAATAAATATTTTAAATTTCATCATTTTATTACATTAAAAATGAAGGTAATCAGTAGCCTTTGGGGGTAGGATTATCGGCTTAAGAAAAGCAATAAAACAAGTAATAGTAAATGTTTCTAAAAATCATATAATGCTTGTGCTTATTGAGAGAGCAATAGTAACCAGATGGATTTTGTAATGTGTAGAGGACACTGTGGTGTGCTGTCTAGATCCCTCTTCAATGAAGGATCTGTTGACCCAGCTGCCAGGAGTGTGAGTGTGTGTGTGTGTGTGCATGTGCATGCGTATTTAAAAACATTATACAGTCATGTGCCACATTATGATGTTTCGGTCAATGATAGATCAAATATATGATGGTGGTCTCTAAGATTATAATGGAGTTGAAAAAAGTCCTATCGTGTAGTGACATCACAGCTGTCATAATGTTGTAAGGTAGCATATTACTCATGTGTTTGTGGTGATGATGGTATAAACAAATCTACTGGGCTACCAGTTATATAAAAGTATAGCACATACAATTATGTACAGTACATAATACTTAATAATAATAGTAAGTGACTATGTTACTGGTTTGTGTACTTACTATCCTATATTTTTTATTATTATTTTAGAATGTACACTTTATACTTACTTAAAAAAAGTTTTGCTGCAAAACTTGTGTTATACCAGCAGCAGCCTCATACATTTCGTGTTTACCACATTTCTTGATTGCATCATTTTCTCTTGTGCTTGATTTGATCTCGTGTTGTCTAGATATGTTTAGATACACAAATACTTACTATCGTGTTACAATTGTCTACAGTATTCACTACAGTAATGTGCTGTACAGGTTTGTAGCCTAGGAGCAATAAGCTATACCATACAGCCTAGGTGTGTAATCGGCTATACAATCCAGGTTTCTGTAAGTGCACTCACTCTATGATGTTTGCACAATGAAGAAATCACCTAATGATGCATCTCTCAGAATGTATCCCCATCATTAAGTAATGCATGACTGTAGTGAGTCTCTGAATGAAAAAGACCCAGGTTTGAATCGTTACTCTGCAAATCACTTTGTAATCTTGAACAAGTTACTCAAAGCCTCCATTTTCTTCTATGTAAATAGGGATAATGATAATAGCTACCTTAAGAATTGTATTTAATGAGATAATTGTCCCTAAAGATTTAGTTCAGGACTTGGCACATAATAAATGCTCACTAAATGGTAGCTATTATCATTAAGTGCCAAAATGAGTAGTAAAGATAATAAACGCTATGAGGTGTCTCTGGAGGAGGGGGGCACTTAAGCTGGTTCTTTGAAAGCTGTGGAAGGTTTGAATAGGCAGAGGGTTGAGGAAGAAAAAGAGGGCTTTCTAGGTAGGAGAGAAAAGATCTTTAAAATTTAAAGGTCATCCCAACAGTAGTTGATTTTAATTTTAATTTGTATTTTTTAAAAGGTCCAACTGCCTGTTTCGTCCAACCGCCTTTTAAAAGCATCGTTATTTAAAATTTGATTTGCTTTCCTCATATTTTGCAGAATGCTTGAATATAAATAATGTGTTTTATTATACATACGAGAGAAAAACATTTTGAATCAAGTTCCATGTTCTCTGTCTTTAAGGCCCCCACTGGCTTATCCATCCTTTATAGTTATTTGTCTAGTTGCTATTTTGCATTTTCATTTGACCCTGCCTTTTATTTATTTGCACTTATTACCAGAATGCTTTTTTAAACTAAATAGTTTTTAGTATTTCCTATTCAGTATTTGATGAATGTTTAATACTATAATTCATTGTTCAGAAAAATGTACCACATCTTACATCATCACTGCACTCCATTATCCATGGAGTATAAACCATTTCACAGTCATTAACTGAATATGTTATTTGGGAATTAAATCAATGGAAAGAAAAGGAAAGGGCATCCAAAGGTGGTAGAAGGTAAGAAAGGCAGTGTTGAGGCTTATGCAGAGTACCCCTTTCCCAGCAAGCAGAAAATACATAAAAAGCCTCCGGCTTTCCCTTTCTCTACCTCCCCAATCTCTCCCTCAGTCCACCAAATCTAGTAGAAACTTGCATTAATCTCTCTTTCAGATTGGAGTGTGGTTGAACAAACATCTATGGAACATAATGCCTTATGTTATGTTGTCTAAGAAGAGGACCCTGAGTCAAGAATTTGAGTGCCAGTTGTTTATTTAGGAGGTGAATCTAGAAAACACCAGTGGGTGAATGGGGAGATGAGACAGGAAGGGAAGGAAACCAGCAAAGGGTATGTTGTTGTCAAGAACTATACAGTGTCATTCATTCATTTAAAATATTAAAAATAATAAATGTTTATTGAAGAAATTTCAGAAAAGATATATGTGCATAGAGATTAAATACATGTATAATATTATATGATATAAATATCAAGAACTGTGAAGGGCCTACTTGCAAGCTAACAAATTAGCCTGCCACAGACT